TGGTGTCATTGCCGCATAGCACAGATATGCATTCTCTACATTATTCATGCTAAGAGGTAAAGAAAATGCGCAGTAAGCGAAGCAATGAGCATTTGGTATTTAAGAACTCTAACAATTCGTATCGACTTATAGCATTGCAAGCTTATTGAAACCCTAAAAACTTGGTTATCTTTTTAGTCTTTAAGTTGAAAGCTCTACCAGGGCCTGTCAGCCCGTCTCATGGCCGAGTAACCGACATGTCCATCAGCGCAAAGCGCAGAGGGCGCAAAGGGTAAAGACAACGCTTCGACTGTGTAAATGAGTTAACCGCAAAATGTCAATGTTCAACTAGCGCCCCACTAGACAAGCAGAGCGCACCGGCTCCCTTCCAACTGCTTGGCAGTTACCGCCTAAAAGCCACAAACACGCACGGCCAATAGAGCGAGAGAGGCGGCGAAAGAGAAAGAGAGAGCGAGAGAGAGGGGGGAAATGGCAGCATGTGTGGGAGTGCAAATAAAATCAATCAATTTGTAGGGCAAGTACAACAAACAGAGGAGCAGCGTCTAAGTGCACAGCGACACTGAAATCTATTTAACAGAGTGTTGAGAAAAGTTCAAAAAGGGATGGAGTAGCACACAGAGAAAGAGAGAGGGGGGAGAAAATAGGACAAGTAATAGCGGTAGAGCGTGAGGGAGGGAGAGATAACAAACTTTAATAAGTTATAGACGGTTAGAGAGTTTGGAATTAGGGGACACACTTAACGCATGTGGAAGTGTGCGTGTGTGTGTGTGTGTGTGTGTGTGTAATTAAACACAACTTACCCCAACAATAACAAGAACAGGAACAACAACAACAACAAAAAGACGACGAACTGCAGGCGTCGCATGAAACGCAGCCTCAAGTGTCGATTGATTTAGCAGCTGAGTTTTGGGAATTCAATTTCTTTTCGGGCATTGCGTCCAGTGATATATAGTAAATATATATGTATGTATGTATATAGGCAGCATTTCGAGTAGAAATTGTGAAAACCGCAGTATTCATTTCCAACATAAAATCAATCAACACGCGCGCTTAATAGCTGCAGAGAGGTCGGCGCATCAAATGTATCTGCCAGATACATTTTCGAGTGTATCTGTATCTTTAGCCGTTGCTCCCCCTTCCTCTATGTCTCTCTCCCTCTCTCTGCCTCACTTAATATTGAGCGATTGCCAAAGACAAATTGCCTTTGTCTCTAATTTTAAAGACAGCGCTCGTCGCCTTTTCATTAATTTGTCTCAGCCGTGGGAGTCGAACAGTTTCACACGCTTTTTTTCACATTTTCTTTATTTTTTGTGGCCTTTTCTTTGGAGGGCCAATTGATTGGCGCACGTTTTGCGCGTGTCTCGATGCGCCGCATAGGAGTAAAAAGTTTTGCTTTGCCTTGCCTGCGTGTTCGTGTGTTTTTTTATGGCCAAAAGAGGAGCAGCGCAAGCTGAGGGGGCAGACATATATTTTAGATGTATTTTGTAGGAGATCTGTGAGGAGATCATAAAGTGTGCATATTTATGATTTATGTTAAGGTTGAGGCATGCGTGGAGACAATAGGCGATGAGTATTATATGTATATGGGTTTTAGCTGATGCATATTATATGGGGGCTTGGAAACTGTTTTAGACTTGGATTAATGGGTATCTTCTTCGTGTTGCCCCATTAAGCAAGCTGAAGCCTTTTGAGCTAAGCTATGGGAACTAAGCTAAAACTTAACTCTATGTTATTATAGGTGTAAAAATAGACCTTCGATTAACTAGTTTCTCTAACTGTTTACTTCATTCGGCTAATATTTCAGACAACTTTTGTAATAAAAGGCAAAATAATCGTTCAGAAAATTGAGAATATTATAATATTTATATTATTTATTAGCATTTAATTGTTCCTTTTCATATCAAAATAACTTCCTGTTGTGCCTATTTATATAATCTAACTATTTTTTAACTTTTCAACCCGAGTATATCATTTATATTTCTATTCGCTGGCTCTGCAACTACCAAGGTTTAAAAGATACCGAAAAAGGCCCCATAAGGGACTAATCGGAAATGCCCCTCAGATGGATGGAGAGCAAGATGGACAAAACCAATATACTCATTCTACCTTAGACCATAAGCATAAATATTATCTAAAATATATTAATATGTCTAGGATTTTCCAGCTTCGTCTTTGTGCTGCTCTTTTCCATCTTCCATTTTCTCGCTGTTTTTTAAGCGCATTCAAATATTTCAATGTTTTCTTTTTTGCCCTCTCATCTGTGTTTCAATTTTTATTGAGCCTCAGTTGTGCTTGTTCTTATTGTTGTTGTTGTTGTTGTTGTTGCTGCTCAACAGCACTTTGTGGGTGCTTAAACCAGCTGACAGGCCCCACTGACAGATTGATGAATGTTGATGCTGCCTGCCTTTTCGCGTTGCCCCTGTTATTTCAGCCCTCTCACAAAATACAAATATAAATACATATACATATAAACATATACATATGTATATACTATATACTTATATTTGTATTTTTGCTTTTATTTTCTTTTTAACAGCATTTTCACTTTCGATTTTTAAATGAAAATATTTTGGAAATGCGCTATTTTCATTTTGCTGCTGGCACGATTTATGGCAACAGTCGTCGAGCAGCAGGAGACGCGGACAGATTGAAAACTTTTCTGGCCAAAAGACGTGCCTCCTGGCCCCTTGTTGGCATCTAATGGCATCTGGGCGATCGCTGAAACGTTGACAATTGGAATCAAATTGGATAAAACTGCAAGATCTCATCAAAATCACACACACAACACACATGTGTGTGTGTGAGTGAGTGTGTGCATCCAATTAGCGTTGTGCCCCAAGGGACGCCCAGATTCACATCTACATATGTATATAAGTCAAGGGCTTTGTCTTCTGCGCTACCGAACAACATTGGGATTATGCGAGTGGAAAAGAAGGTCAAGCTCATCTGGTAAACATGTTGTGGGCAATGGAGCATTAAGCCAGAACTTTAAGTTGATTAGGAATTATGAAAATCGACTGGAATGCGACATTTATATAGGGTCTTGGAGAACAAGAAAATCAAATTAATATGTTTAAAGTCTTGGAGAAAAAAAAATCATAGAGATAGAGACAGCGTAGCTTAACTATAATAAGTTGAGTAAAATTAGGGAAAAATGTTCAAATTTAAAGGAATATATTATGAAATTATTTTTATATTGAAATTTCGATTGTAATTAAAAAAAAATAAATAAAATAAGAAATAAATAAATTAAATAAAAAGTAAGAGTACAAAAATTTTGGGGACTAGTTTCAGATGAAATAAAAATATATTGTTATATTATTATAAAAATTAAAAAAAAATAAAAATTAAAAAGGAAAAGATTTTATACAATTTTTTTTTTTTTTTTCCTATACACTAAGAATATACATACGTATATATGTATGCATATGTGTATATGTATATATATAAAAATATGTATATATATTATATATGTACATATATATCTACGTATGTACATTTACATATAACTTCAGCCCTCTTTGACCCTATTTAATAATGGAATATGCTTGCTATCCACACCGAAATTCAAAATCTAAATCCTAATCTAAATAAATAATCAAGTCAAGCTTTAATTAATTGCATATAATTATTAACGAATCTCGAATTCTGAGCCCCGCTTATCTGCCGCTTTTTTCCATGCTCTGCTCAACTTTTCGACACCTTTTTGTGTAGGTCTAATTGAAATCTGTGCTTAGCCTCGTTTACCTAATAGAGATCCAAAGATTTTATAACTTGGCAATTAAAATGCAAATCAGTTCAAACTTTTCTTTAATGGCTTCGCTGCTATTCTTCATCCGGCTTCTCCTGTTTCGCCTTCTGGTTCTTCTTTGTGTCTCGGTGATACTTTTGATCTAGGCAGAAGGCAGCAGATAAGAAATCAGCGAAAGGGTTTTTAAATTGTTGCTTGGACATTCTTTGTGTTTGGAAGCAACAACAAAAAAAAATGTGTAAATAATCGAAAGAGAAAAAGTTGTGGAAAACCCTAAAGAAAAGTAAAAAAAAAAAAAAAACAAATATACAACTGTGGAATATCTCGCGAAAAATCTCGGAAAAATTGAACGCATTTGCTGACCCAAAAAGACAAATGACCGAAAAACAAAACAAAGCAACAACATGTAATGGTTTATCGTGGGGTATATGCGACTAGCAGATACCGTGCAATGCTTGTCGAAGGAAGACGAGTATAATATAAATGATAAATAGAGGAAAGTTAGTAGAAGAGATGAAGCAGCTATCTGAGATGTTAAATTTAAATTTATATTACTAGTCATCCTTAGCAGAATCGTATTCATGTACAGAGAGAAAGATCAAATAAACAACAGCAAACTCGATCAATAAATATATACAAAAATTCTTATATATGAATGTATATCGATTGAATTCGATTAAAAATGATCGACGACTTGAAATAAACTGGAATTAATTATATTCTTAAGGGATATTCATGTAAAAACGTACTTTTGTTCTTATATCAAGAGATCAAAGACGCATTTGTATATAAGCTAGATATATATATCCCTTTCTCTTTCTGTCGAGTGCTCCACAGATTTGATCGCCCACATTATACCCTATTTACCCGGCTGCAATGGGTACACGGTATAATAAATAGAAAAGCGAAAGGGACAACAATCGCTCTGGGGATACAGGGAAAGCGTTTTTCAAAAGGGGTGTATTAGGAGTAGGCGTGATGGGGTAGGGAATTGGGGGGTACTTAGGTAGGCGTGTGTTTATTTTAATGCAAATATTTGTTTATTTTTGAATGGAGAACGCGCAATTATTTTTTCTCCTGGGCAAAGAATGTAAATTCTATGAAAATCTTTTCATTTAGCAGTTCGTCGAGCACCCACATGTATTACCATTATATACATTTACTTTTTTTATGACAGGTGTATATTTAATTTAGGCCTTTGCGTATTTGTTTTATGCTAATCTAAAGATTTACAGCTGGACACACTTACTTGGCAAATCCTTTTTTATGCGTATTTACTTGGGGTTTATGTTGTTTTTTCTCTCCTTTTGTTTTGCGTGTTGGCAATTCTGCAGAATTTGTTGTTTTTTCTATTTTTCTATCTCTCTCTCTCTCTCTTTCTTTTTCTGTTTGGCCTTTGATTGGATCGCAGATTAACGTGCGATTTAAATGCAAATTAATTGTTAGGCACTCACGCACACATGCACAGCACTCCACTCACACAGGGGCACACGCGTACGCACATACACTGAGCGGGAGATAGAGCGACAGAGACAGAAGACACAACCGTTGAGCGTGCTTTGGTTCCGTTTCTAAGCTCAGTTTACTTATCGGGCAATGCGCTTTGCTCGCTTTTCGTTGTGCTTTGCTTGAGCTTCTTTTCCGATCGGCATCAGCATCTTTGTATGAGGATTCCCGAAATTCAAATCAAACCGTCAAACGGTCGCTCACACGCACAAATGCACACAACACTCACAGTTACACAGTTATGGCCATCACGATGATACGGGGCCGAAGCAGTTTTGCCAGAGCCGAAACGCTAAATTTGGCTAGCACAGAGCAACGTCGTTTACTACTGATAATGGAGACACAGAGTGCGTTAGAGCGTCCGCAACTGACCGTCCGTTTCAATGCGCGCGTCGTCAAAGACTGAATCAGACTGAATCATACAAGTATAGAAGCAGAGGGCCAGCATGCAACCAGCCGAGCGAACGATTAACGTTCGTGCTCGTCTGTTCGTAGCTAACGCACACGAGCCGTTGACACGAGCCAAGGCGTCGCGCCGCGTCGGGCAGCTGCTACGCACGTCTCTGCTGCAGACGCCAACAACAATTCAAGCAAAAGAGCCGACAGTCGTGTCTGACGAAGGCGATGCATTCACGAAGGCGTTGGCTCCATCTAGCGGCAGAACCCTTGAACTACGGTCTTATACACTGTTAAGACACACTTAACAGAGTTTTTACCTAACAGCGAAATGTTGCATCGCACACGAGGCAACTCGAACGTGTTCGACCTGGGGTAACACTAGCAGCAGCTGTTAAAAGGATAACCAATCCTTTGACTAGGTCGCTGTAATTAATTTTTGGTCCTGCTGCAGCCGCAGCAGCTTGTTGCACACATACACACGCACACACATACACACCAGTTTACCTAATGTGGCGAATGTCAATGAAATTGAAGGATGAGCTCTGTGTGCTAATCTAATTGGATCTTGGGCGAGCAGCTCTGACTTGGGCATTTATTAAGGAATTACCTTTGGTTTCAGTCTAGGGATGGTACGATTATTGAATGGGCATATGCATTTAAATAGAGTGCAAGTGATTGAGCGCATATGACGTATTTGCTATTACTCTATTTAGAGTGCCTGGTAAGCTTAGCTAAAACGAAATTAAGTTTATTTATTTTACCATTTGCCTATTTTCTTGCTTATCAATTTTATATTTAATATGTTTTAATAACGAAAAATTGATTATTATATTATTTTTAAATTTATACATATTATAAATAATGTTTCCCAATTCTACATTGTATTCTTCAAATTTCGATAATGGATTTTTCATACACTTTTTTTTTTTTTTTTTTTTTTTTTTTAAAAAATCTTTTATAAATAATTCCACTTTTTATAACTCAAATTTGTCCTTTAAAAAATTTTTTAAGTTTATTTCTTAATAATTGTATTTCATATTTGTGCAGATGTATAAATTTATTAATAAATTCTTCAATAAACCCTCTAATAATTATATCTGGCAGTTGTTCCTATGGATACCATAATTGAGATATTTATTATAACAAAACAAACACAGAAACTCCTACTAAATCCTCATAAGCAATTAACACTCACCGCTTGATGGCAACAATGTCTTACCTTTATTCATAAATCTCATTCCTATGCCTACTCGCACCCTCGCTCCATCTCTCTCTCTCTCTCTTGCTTTGTTGTGATAGGCGGCGGCACGCCCATAAAGCAATTTGGTAGTCACATAAAAAGCATTACAAATATCACACTTAATTGTATTAACAGAGCAGAGCTAAACAGAGCAGAGCAGAGCGTGCGGGCAGCGCGTGTAGAGTATAAGACACGGAGGAAGTATAAGTGAAAGAGGAAGAGGCGTATGTTTGCTTTAACAGTTAAGTTGGTCAAATAGCTCAAAACAAAGACAGCAACAACAACAACTGCAGCAAAAACAGTCCCCCTTGACAGTTAGGCCATACAAATAGCTCACGACAAAGGCGAGAGAGCAACAACAACAATAACAACAACAGCTTAAGGAGTGTGTGTGGAGTCGAACTCAAACCAAATTCGAAGTAGGACTCGAAGTCGATGTCGAGGTCGCAGATTGATTGATGATTTTATGACATTGTTTACTCAAGTGATGATGAGCGGAGCGTGAGTGCGAGCGAGAGGGAGCGAACGACCATAAACTAGCCGAGATAAAAGAAAGGGAAAACACTTGAGCAGGAATGTGCGTGTGCGTGTGCTTGTGCGTATGCGTCTGACTGCCTGTGTGTGTGTCCTTTGTTGTCGTGGTGTCGGCTTGCCCGCCGAGATTGCAGGCCTGCCTAGTCTATGCCCATGGACTGGTCTCTGGCCCTTTGTGGCCCTGCTGTTGTTTTTCCCTGGAATGCTATCAATCTTTTGCTTATTAGGGATAATATTACAATTACTTGTAAGTGAGATAAGCCAAAGACAACAAACGCCGAAGGAGAGCAGCGAAAAGGATAAGTGCGCTCAAGTGGGCCGACGGACGGCGACTTTGCTTTGACGAAGCGCATCCACCTTGATCTGTGTGTGTCGTGTGTGTGTGTGTGTGTGTGTGTGTGTGTGTGTGTGTATGTGTTTGTGTGTGCACTGGTGCACGGAGCGAAACGATGGAGTGAGAACTGGGTCTGATTAGACTTTATACCATGATCCCATTGGTCCTATAATATAATTCTATTTTATTTTATTTTACTGGAGGAAATTATTTAATAATTATATACATACATAAATACATACTTATTAATACTATTATTTTTATCGTCTAATTTATTTCAATGAATAGATTTTTTTTTGTTTATTTATAACATAAAAAAACTTTATTAAATAAAATTATATTTGACACAATACAAAATATAATGTAAAATAAAAAAAAAAAAATCGTATTCTATTAAATCCAATAATAAATAAAAATCCAAAAATATAATAAAATATGCACGCTTTTCATATGGACAACTACTTCAATCCTTTTTCTCTCAGTGCATTCTTATTTAGGTTTGCTGTAAACAGAGACTTGACTCAGTTACATTCGAGGCAAGCCAAGGCAAGGCGAGGCGAGGCGAGGCGCATCTGAGCGTGTCATTCGGATGCCCGATTGATTGACAAATTGACAGGGCGAGGAGGGCACTGGGTGACAGTGAGGGGCGTAGGAGTGTGCGGTGCGTGAGGGGCGTGGCTTGGGCAGCGCCTTTCGCTGGAAGCGCCGGCAAGCACTTCCTGCCTGCTCCGACAACCTGTTTCAATTTAGTCATAAACTATTAACGCAGCCCGCAGCTGAAGGAGTCACAGTTTCGACTCGACTCGACTCGACTCGAGAGAGTCCGTCCGGCCGTCCATCCGTCCGTCCGCTCGCCAGGAAGCCAGCTGTTCCATTACCGCACGGCCGCACGATGTCCTTCGTGTTCTTTGTGTCCTCTGTGTTCTCTCTGTGTGCTGTTTGATGATAAATTAGACCTGGCCAATGCACTAAAAACCTTTAAAAAAAAGTTGGTAGTAGGGCTAAGAGGAGGGGTAGACTAGAAGATACCCAGCACGCTAGGCTGTAAGAGGGAGATAGACATTTATGTATTTATGAATTAAGAATTAATATACGCTAAGGCTGCCACGCCTTCTTTTTCAGCGAGTCCCACGCACCAGTATACCCAGCTTATTCATTAACAATGGGTATCATAAACATACATATAAAAGAAGAAAGAACCACCTTATACATGTACATATGTTTCTCTCTCTCTCTCTCTCGGTCTCTCTCTTGCCATGTGTAACGCTTGTTCAGGTAGCATTTGTGGCTCTTTAGTTGGCCTTACCGCCATTTACCTTTCTCCTTTTTTTATTGCTTTATTATGAGCTGGATGACGTCGCATGAGCCGTTGTTTATGCCTGGCCAAAACGGATGGCCCGAGCTCCGCCAGGCACTGTTAATGTCAGCAGTTGCCTTAAATGCTTCCTCTTCTCGTTTATAGCTCTTTGTTCTTTGCTCTCAATGAGCGGCAATGAGCTCCATCGGACATATTCGAATATCGAACCATCTGGCAACGTTTGTTTTCAAATTGGACAGAGGAAAGAAAAGATTGGAAGAGTCGAGATTGCAAGGGAAGAGAGTATGAGAGTATCTTCTGCAGCTTGAGCCAGTGGTAGATAGATTAACCAGATCATATACAAAAATCGATTATTTTGTTTGCGATTAATTGAAATCAGAATCGATTTCTCCATTAAATACAAATGATCGATAAACGATTATTGCTAATCATAGTTTATTGTTTATCGAATAAAATTCGTCGATAAATTGAAATACATAATCATGTAAATCAATCAAATCACAATATCAATATGATATAATAATATCGATATTCGATTAATGTTCTTTACTTTGTCATCACTGGCAGGAACAGTTTCTGGAAGACCTTCTATGACTCTGTCGGCGCTTTTAGGTGTTTAGGCGTGATAAGCGGCTGCTTCAGCTTCGTGGGGCTGCTGCAGTTTCCCATAAACGGGCGTTACGAAATCAATTTGCATGCTTGCCAGGCCTAGACACAGAAAGAGAGAGGAACAGAGCGAGGGAGGGGTGCAGAGGTAACCTCAGTCACAGTCCACAGGCATCGCATTTAGTCAAGCGAAACTTGGCCACAGAGCTGAGCCCCGTCGGGTGGGAGAGGGAGTCGAGACGAGGCGAGGCGAGGTGGGGCGGCTGCCATTGGCCGATAAGCGCAAATTAGTGGCAAATTAAGCCATCAATTGCTGCAGCTGTTTATATTTTGGATACCAAACTGTACTGCCTCTCTCTCTGTACACCCCGCTTCCCATTCCCCTTTCTCCTTCTGTTCCCTAACTCTCATTTCTCTTGGTCCCTGGCTGAAACCTCAACCGCATTTGACAGACGTGCACTCAACACTTTCGCCAGCTGACAGTTACACTAATAACGGCCCCAGCTCCTGCTCGCCTTCTCCCTTCCCCACGCCCATTGGCACATGCCAACGGCCTAAACAAACAGCAGCCCGGCTCGAGTCCTGGCCGAGGTCCTGCCTGCCCGACTCCTGCTCGGCATACGCTTATCAGTTTTCAATCACATTTGAAACACATTGGTATTTGTGCGCCCATAAATCAACAGGAACCTTAATCCTCAGGATCGTGTTCGAGTTACGGTTGCTGCAATACACACAAACACACACGCACACACACATACACATATACTTATACACACATTCGCACAGCGATTGCAAAGTCACCTTCAAATAGATAAACATTGACAGCTTGACATATGTAGAATTCTCACTCGTCCTGTTATGGTGCACCTTTGTCGAAATCGAAAGGGAGCGGGGGAGGGGATGCGGGGGTTAATTTTTATATTGCGGCTGCCGCTTTGAGTGATAAGCGCGAGCTTCAGCTAGGACTACGGCTAAAATGGGCCCACAGCAAATGGCTGACAACAGCAGCGAAACTTCTATCTGGCCTTCCTTCATTCGCGAGGCGAGGCACGTCTCTGTCAGGGCTATAAAAACAATTAGGGTTCAAGGTCTCGTTAGGCATTAGATATAACATATTACGATAGAAAGAGTGAGAGAGAGAGAGAGAGAGAGAGAGAGAGAGAGAAAGATACTCAGTTGAGCTCGCTGCGCTAGCTGAATACAGAGATAGCATATAAGGATAAATTATAGAGAGTAGCGAGTGAAGAGCTGCAGAGGAAAGGCATAGAGAGTTACGAGCTCAAGAGTTTCTGAAAAAATGAGGGAAAAGACAATTACATATGTAGATATGTATACATATTATGTATATATATAATAATTATTATATAATAAATATTTATGTAATATATAATATAATAATATACAAATATTTATAGCACTTTATCTTTTTATTATCATCAAAATTATGCAAATTAATATTAATTAAATATTTGGCTTCCGTTCTCCTCATCTCCCCATCAAATGTTTACATTGTGATTTTTTTTTTCTACTTTTTTTCAGGAATTCTGTGGTACCACGGCAAACAATTTTCCAATAGGGTCCATTCACAATACGGTGCGGGATATGCGTTGATTCCAATCATCAGCACGATTATGATTAGGCCCACGTATAATTTCATCGTTGGAGCGATCGATGTGCTTTAGCCAATACTTCGTAAGCGACTAGCCTGAGACGTACAATTTATGAAGCATTATATATGTAGCATACAGTGGCAAACCCATTAAGTGAACCAAATGCTAAACACTTATTTATACAATGTATATACATACATATGTATGTATGTATATACATATGTACATGTCGCTATTTCTAAATATGAATAATTCCTTATCTATATAAACACAATCATAGCAAATGTGACATGGACTCTTTCTCAGAAATACATTTAATGCAGTTCTTCACATATGTACATATGTACATATATAAACATGTACATATATTTTGTGCGATTTTTTAAGTTTGAGATGAACGAACCAAGCGCAAAAGTAAAGAAATTAGAGGAGTATCGAAGATCGCATTACGATGCCTAACCACTCCTTATCATTTTAATATAATTATTTATTCTTATTATTGTTGTTTTTAGGGACGAAAATTAATTGCACGAAAAGAGTTTAAAAATTAAAATCGAAAAATATTGATATATCGATATTTTTAAAACTGCATATCAAATATCATATTCATATTCTTTAAAAATCTGAAACATAATCGTTACGATATTTGATAAATATTCGACAACCCTAGTTTTCATATAATGTCATAATGTCATTATGTAGATTATGAATTGCTTATCAAAATTCTCTAAATTAATTTTCGGCTTAAAATATAAACGGAATTCATAGGAAAGTTAATATGTATGTATGTACATAAATATGTATGTATATATTTCTTTTTAGTCGTTCGTCGAAAATTTCATCAATCAGTTTCAAGTTCTGAGTTCATATTATGGTATGTACATACATATGTACATATATGTATGTATGTATGTACATATGTACATTCAAATGAGATCATGCTTGGAGGAACTCTATAAATACTAGAATTACAATGAATTCTGTCGAGGCTATCAGCTGCCTAAAGAGTGTGAATATGTTCAATGGGTTCAGGGTATAAAAATGTATAAATTTAATTAAAATTATGTATATGTAAAAATGTACATACATACATACATACATACATACATATGTATGTATGTTATGTAATTATAAATTGTAGAAAATTAATTTCAGTTAAAAGATATGATATTGAAACAGTGCATTAAAGTACATACATACATAGATATACATACATATGTACATATACATACATATGTATGTACATAGGAAATATTCATACTTTTTAGTAGCAGCCTGCAAAGAAAATTACATGTATGTACATACATACATACATACATACATATGAAATAAAGCAATACGTAAAAAATAGTTTTCATATTAAAAGAACTTTAATATAAACAACGAAATGAAAACATGTAAAATATTGCAAAAATTCGCTTACATCGACATGAATAATTTCGCTAAAAAAATAATAATAATTTGTGAACTAATTCTTCTAGAATTACGTCAACTTTTTTTCCCCGGCAGCTGCTTGTGACGTAGTCATAGAGACGAGAATTGATGCGACTTATGCGACTATGTTGAGGAAGAACAAGAAGAGGTTTCCAATTAACACTCTAGCTAGCTGGAAGCCAAGCTCGGTTCGGCAGAAACACTGGGCAGAGGCTGGAGTAGAGGCGCAGGAGGCGTGGCAGTTGTTGTGGCAACGCGCTGCAGCCACCGAAATTAAGTGGAAACGAAGTGCGCACTTGAATTTCAATTGAAATGCCTACTTGAAAGCCAAACTTCAGAGCACAGTGCCACGCCCACCGCCCAGCGATTCCCCTAGTTGACAGAAAGTCGAAATTCAAGCCAAAAATAGCTATAAATAAAAACAGGAATTGTTTTTGTTGTTTTTTTTCTTTGTTTTGTTTCCATTTATGTATTTCGCTCGCTTTTGCGGTTATTTAGGCTTCAGGTAGGACTGCTCGAAAGGGTTTTTTTTTTCCTTTCTTTGGTTTCTGTTGTTCGCGGTGCCCCAGAAGTAGCTTGACTAATGATTATTTAACTCAATTACCATTACCGCCGGCCACGCCCCGCCCAGCCCCTGGGGAACTTTTCGACTCGAGGAGTAATTGTATAATTGTTGCCGCCTGTTTGCCATTGTTGTTGTCCTTTAACGAACGTTCCTTGTGCTTATTAATATTAATAAAGTTGATTAAAAGGCTTATGCAAAACTAAGTACACACACACACATAGAGAGAGAGAGAGAGAAGTGTGTGTGTGTGTGTGTGCGCCTTGCTCAAGTGTTTGTGTTCTTGGCATGCGAAATTTGTTTCTCAGCTTTGCTTGGCTTGCTTTTTATTTGTGCTATTACGTGAATGATTTTATTATTATTGTTGTTGTTGTTGTTGTTGTATTGTTGTTGTTGTTGTGGAAGCAAAGCTTTTATGGCACTTAATGCGGCTAAGTGCCACAAATCAAACAAATCGAGCAGTTTAGCAAGCCACGACCAATCCTCGTCTGCGGACATAATCTCCAAGAGTGCTCCATAGGCCAGATGAGCTCTATGTTTGTGCTTGAATATGCATTTTAATTGTGCTCAAATACATTTTTGGCTAAGCCATTTAATATTTGAGAGTGAAAGAAC